CCCGTTGGGTCTGCGCGTGACGAGGACATCCAGGAACAGTAGTTGTCCGGCATTCCCTTCTTCTTTTGTGACTTGGATATTGGGGAAGGTGCCGTTAAGCAGGTTTTAAAAGTCCGCTAGCCTGCTCCGTTCGATTATAATGAAAGTATCGTCCACGTATTAGCACCAGAATGCAGGTTCAAATTGGTCAAAGGCGACTTTTTCCAGCTCCTGTAAGACCATTTCTACGATGAGACTGGAAATTGTGGATCCCATCGGCGTCCCTTCGGTCTGTTCGTATGTTCGTATGTTCGGCCATTAAACGTGAAAAAGTTTCCTTGGCAGAAGACGAAGAGTTGCATGAGGTTGTCAATTTTTTAGAGGACCCCTCAGTTCGCCATATTTGTCTTCGAGTTGTTTGCGTAGGATGTCACGTGCCAGGTCCAGAGGGATGGATGCGAATAGCGAAACGACATCAAAAGATACCGTAGTTTGATCTGGACGAACCGCTCTGCCCCGGAGAGCGGCTAGAAATTGGGAGGCCGAATTGATTGAGGTCGTCGAGCGCTCTCGGAGAATAGTAAGCTTTCGTGACATCCATCTGGATAGGTTTTAAGTAGGGCTGCCTTTCAATGCCACGATTGGCCGGAGTAGAACGTTGTGCTTGTGGATTTTGGGCAAGCCGTAAAACCGAGCCAGTGCTGTGTCGGTTGGTTTGGTTTATCGTCATTCGTCTTGCGATATCACGTTGCTGCGTTGGAGTCGGTTCAGGAGACCAGTTACCTGGCTGGTAATCGATCTAGCCTATGAGGAGGGCGTGGGTTGGTAGGATTACTGGTCATCGAGGAGGGCTTGTGCTTTCGCGTTGCTCACGACCGTTGCTCTTCCCTTGTCGGCCGGTGACACTATTATATCTTTGTTCATTTTGAATCTCTTCATCGCCTCTTCTCCCGCCGGTGACATGTTATTGCTGGGCATGTTCGCCATTAATGAGGTGACTTTTTGGCGCACTGTGTGCTTCGCCTCGTCGGTTGCGCTGGTTCGCACTGGCATGGCTTCCAGTGCCGCGATAAATTCGGCTGGCTTAGCATCTACCGTTGGTTTCATGGCTAAGCACGCTTAGTTCTTGTTCAGTCAGCTGCCTAGAGGATAGATTGTGTACCACATATTCGTTTGTTTTGGATTCCGGTTTTAATTTTCCGAACTTCTGGTCTAGACTCCTGTGTTTTTGATCCAGTCTCGCGTTTGCCAGAGTCGATTGTTCGTAGTTTTGCCTTATTATTACTATGACAGCCAACTGAATCACCGGACATAGTCTCGGATGGAGAAGCTAAAAGTTGAACGACAAAAAACCATAGCAGGTATGGGAATGGAAATTAAAACTTGTTACTACTCTTTTAAGTGTAAAAGAAATTCGATGAAAAGTCATTTTTTTGCATACAGATAGTTGTGTGTTCAGTCGGTGAAGTTGATGTACAAGAGTTCAAAATTGCCGAAAATAACTGAAATTATGTTAATGTCGAATGATTCTGCATACTGACAGCACACTTACTAACTAAAAGCCCTGACACTTAGGTCGTTGAGTTTGGACCACGACGTGAAAGTTGAAACGGACGTAGCTCAGCAGTAGATCGCCATCGTTCTCCGTGTGCCTTAGGTTCAGTTTAAAAGGTTAATTTTCTTCGTTTCCACATAACTTAAGGCATCACCTTGGAGTAAATTATTTGGGAAAAACTAATTCCAGGTTCGGACCTAAATTAAATTTAAATATGTTCGCTGAAATTTATTCGGTTCGGCGGTATAACCGCGTAACACTTTAGGTACGCACACTTCTGTGTTAGTGGATAAATATGCTGTATTGAAGACCCTTTGCGGCGGGGATGTAGCTCAGTGGTATCCAGAGTTTTCGCTTTTGCCAGAGTGTAATAGGAATTCTGTCTTAATTCAGAGCAGTGAGGCATAGTTAAGTAAGTGTAGGCAAGCCTCGAAGATATCGGCGAGGCGACGTGAGGATGGACTCAATCATGTGCGAATACTACCCACTTTTCCACCCCCTATTTCCTCGTAGCTGGCTAGAAAACACGCCAATGCATGCTGCATTATCATCGTCTCTGTAAATGCCTCCTGTACGAGTCCGAAAGCGCAATGATCGCGCCCTTGTCTTCTTTGCAAAGAGGACCTGCGGCTCGCATATTCGCTTCCATTTGAGATATAATATTCCTCGCAAGACACTTGATCCCGTCGGTTATTTATATACGACAGACTCTCAGGTGTACATTATATTTATCGCCTACGCCTACGATTACTCGGCATCTCTTTTCTCAGTAGGACCATGCATGCATACATGCATAGTCCCACCCGATCCGTTACACATACGAAAATTGGTTTACGTATTTCAACCTACCTTTATTTTCAGCATTAGAAAGTAAG